TTCAAAGTCCGTAATCGTCATTTTTTCCAGATTCTTCGAGGACTGATTGTCCAGGCGGAGGGACACTCTCCTGCCTCGTAAGCCCCACTCGGATATAGGTTTTAGTCACCGATGCAATCGACGCCGAAGGAAAGTAGTGGATGAGGCCGAGAAGGGAGTGACGGAAAGAATGATCGCTATGCCCTGACCAAACGATAGAGAGGCTGGGAACGGCCACCTACGATAAGAGAACACTCAGCCCCAGCCGAGGTCCAAATTGTGGGGAGCACGTACCTCGAGTCCATCCTCCTCTTTATCGACATCTCGTTACACTGCTCCAACTCCTCTTCTGTCGCCTTCCATACATGGTCAAGCGGCAGCGATCGCAATCGAAGATGGAGGTGGCGACGATGGTGGAAGAGGAATGAGATGATAAGTGCTGGTGTTGGGAATGATCAGCCGCGTATAAAACTAAAAGGGAACGTAGCATACATCGTAGTACAGACGTGGCGACGATGATGGAAGGGGAATGAGACGGTAGGTGCTGGTGTTGGGAATGATAAGGCGCGTATAAAACTAAAAGGGAACGTAGCATACATCGTCGTACACCTCGCCCGTCGAGTCGTCTCTGTTGCCTTCCCACCGCTTACTGATCCAGCATACCGCCCCATTCCGCCCCGAAGTCCCACGTGTTCGCCGTTTTTTTGAGAACCTTCAAGGACTCATTGTCCTGGTCCAGGCGGAGGGACACTGGCGTCTCCTGCCTCGTAAACCCCACCCGCACAGACGTTGTAGTCGTTCGACGTGCGAAGCCTGCCTGACGCCTGACCGACGCCGAAGGAAGGTCGTGGATGAGGCCGAGAAGGGAACGTTCACGATGCCCTGACCGAACGACTGGGAAAAAGCTGCACCTGCGAGAAGAAAACACTTAGCCCCGAACGAAGTTCGATTAATTGTGGGGAGCACATACCACGGGTCGACCCTCCTCCTCCTCCTCAACATGTCGTTATCCCCTCTCCGGCCGCATTCGTCATCGCCATCCCAGACCCCGGATAGCGACGTCGGCCTCCATTTCCCTTGGCTTCGCGCCCGATGATGAGCTATGCTAAACCTCGGCATGACGACAGTGGTCGAGAAGTTGCGATTGGCAGCGAACGTAGATGGATCGAGTTCGAACTCAGGTCCGAGGCGGGGGCGGAGCCAACCAGCAGGGGAAAGATAGGCATGCCGTCTCGTACGCGAGCTCAGTGATTCCCTCGATCTGGGAGCATCCTTTAGACAGAATAAGGAACGAAAAGAAAATATGGTGGTACATACTGGTCATGGGGGATATATCTTCCTCGAACTCGACTCTGCGTTTCTGGCGACGTGGAGCACGGAAGGGTAAGGGAGAGCGTGATTAGGGTTGTAGGGATGTATTCCGGAGGTGCCGTGCTATCGTAGGGCCACGCTAGCTAAATCAAGGAAGATTTGGAGATTGGATAAGGACGGACCTGTCCACAGGCCCTGTTGGCGCGAACTCAAGCTCAAGCCCCACCCGCCATTCCTTGCTGCCCTAGCCTTCCTGTGCCACCCCTAGAAGGATCCCAGTGTGCGGTGCTGCCATCGCGTAGGACACCGTGTATGCGATATCGGAGTTCGGGGAGGCAAAGGCTCGATATCGGGTCAGTTCGCTCAGGCTGCTGGGATTTGGGGCAGGGACGAGGGTGAAAGAAGAAGTTTGAATTGTGGGTCTCAGAGCTGTAGAAGCGGACATTGCGAGGTTCCAGTCAGCGTTGTGAGTTGGGAGAACGGACAAGGGTGTTGATGTTCATCAGGGAATTGCCGCCAATGTTGTATGGTATAGCGGACTTCGCAATTAGATCAAAACAATAGGGTCGCATCATAACAGATAGTCCTCGCTTGCGACATCTTACAATAAGATTGCAAGATGACCACTATTCTACTTCAGAGCTTGTGCAGTTATAACAAAACCTTCAACAACCCCATGATTTCCTATGATTTCCCGTCGACGAAAAAACCTCCAAGTCCATTTCAAACTCAGAACTCAACATCCATCAACAGTTCCGTTTTTCTCCTTCCCTCTCCCTCCCTCTCCCTCCCTCACCCCCGTCGTCGCCCTTTTCCTCTCCCATCGCCTGGTCTACCCTCGAACTCCCATTTCTGTCTCCACCACGACCTGTGTATCCATTGTCGGATGTCGTGTGATGTTTTCTCATCTATCATTGTAACAACCGCGAAGTCTGGAGGCCGCTCGCTGGCTTTTGGATTCACTGAAGGCACAACCTAGGGATGTGGCTGCGCGACCTCGAGGACCCCATGGAATGGCCTGCCGATGTGAATCCTCTACGTACATCAAGACATGGAACATGGACAGAGCAACGGCATTTGAGGATACCAGGACCAAGGACTTTGGCACCACAAGACCACGAGGACTGAGACTACGGCTGAATGGTTTTGCGAGCGTACATGGACCAGGAGTCCGTGACATTTTCGAATCGAGGTCGAACCTATTCGCTGGGGACGAGAATGGGATCAACGAAGCCTGGGATACACTTATTTGGCTTCAGTATCCTTGTTGGCCGCGAATTGGACCGACCGTCGTGCCCGCCGGTGGAGTTTGTTCCGACATGCGGTGGCCGAGCTGCCTGAGATATCTATTTCTCCTCTTGCATCGTTCCCCGATGTGAATACTCGGGATCTCGCGGACAGAGCCGAGGACTGGAGCGACGACTATCGGACGGCGACCCGCGACCGTCAATCATGTATTGGGAATGGTACTCAACCAAGATGGGCATGACAAGCACCATTCAACAAGTCTGGCGGTTGTGTTGTGTCTAGTACCGTTACGCCATTTATACTGTAGCTACTCGTTAATGCATGTTGATTTTGTTTTTACCGTCTTTCGTGTCTCGTGAGCAGAAATAGTTATAAAATTGAAAGGAACGGGCGGGAATACAGGCCGGCCCATGCCACATGCACACAAGGCTAGTAGACATCTTGCAATAGATTGTCGGAATTAAGTTTTTGACTTGATGGAGAAATCTCTTACAAGGTGACATACAATAATTATACATGTTGCAAATATTTTGCGGGTTCGCAAGGCAATATTATGACGTTGCGATGGATAGCTATAATCGCGACAATTCCCTGATGTTGATATGTAGACTCAAGATGTAGCCAAACAAATCCTGTGATGTCATTTCTTATTATACTTTTCGCCCCGTTCACACCATACAACACAAGATGCCGTTGAAGATACTCTGTAATCCTCCAAAAGACATAGACTGGGAGGTCAGTGAAGGGGCGGGCCCTCCCATGTGGTCCAGTAGCATGGTGAGTGCCTTATCCGTCTCTCACCGCCGTGTCTCCTCTGACAGTGGTCGTTTCGTTGAGTTCAGACCCTCTGCGGCCTCAGGATACAGCGCCAACGCGACTCTCAGATGGGGACATTAGGATGGACGAGAAATCCCCGGCGGATGGGAGTTGGACACAACCTCGACGAGCGACGCGTCAGGAACCTCCGGGGTATGCTCCTGCTCGTCTTGAGGCTTAGATATATGCACTGATATTCATGCTTGCACACGTGAGAGGAGATCCGAGTGGCACCGGAGGGATAGTGGTGGGAGGAATGGCGGCCGCGCATGGCGCTTACACACTCGCTTGGTGAGGATGCTGGGTCCCACTTGAAACGTTCGTTCATTTCATACTTAGTGGTTTCCACTGATCGTTATCTATAGCATCCCTCTGCTTCCAAGTGGTACGAAAGAAGGTGATTACTGGCTAACGGTCGTACAGGCTATTCTGAATCCGAGATGGTATGTGCCTCATCAGCTCGTGCATCGCCCATCTCTGTAACGATTATCTCTAGTAGCCTCGATCCCAACTGTCGCCCCCAGCACTCGCCATTTGAATACTGCGAAATTCGAACGAGTACGAGTCACACACACCATGCAACGCCTGTCCAAATCCACCCGCTGTAAAATCTCCTTCGTCACACGCGTCGCCAACCCCCCTGCGGCCCCCGTTCTTCGTGGAGCGATCCCATGAGAATCTAAATGATGCTCGCAGTACCCGTGGTCCCTCCGTCCAACCCTTCCATGTACACCGGTTCTTGGAATCTCACCACGCGGCCTCCGATGTCTGAGAGAGTTCGATGTGCCGAGGAGGTGGACTGCGTAGGGAAGGACGGATGGGAAGTTGTAACAGGGTATCGAAGTGCAAGTACCAGGAGCCTTCGTGCGCCTGGAAGGAAGTGCGTCTGAGTCGCGGGATTGGGACGTCGACCATGACCTTGATGAATAAACGTGGATTCTTCGCTATATGATCACACGGCGCCTTCCTCGCGTACGACCCATCGCGATGTCCTAGTAGGAGTCTCGCTCATCATGGATGTGCAGGGTGCATACGCATACTGGCGACTATGCATCTTGAGAGAAAGGGTGACGATGATGCTAAGAAGGAGCGGCTGCGACCGCGATTGGAGATGGATGTGGCGACGATGGTGGAAACAGGAATGAGATGTTAGTATTACGCGCTGACGTTGGGAATGATCAGCCGCACATAAAACCACAGCACACCTCGTTGTATGTATCGCCCATCGTTTCCCTCTGTTGCCTCCCCAGCATCTCACCAATCCAATAGACTGTCCGATTTACGTGGGTGTCAGGACAACAAATGCCAACATCGCCCGGGTCCCAGTCGGCGTTACGAGTCGAGGCTGATAAATAAAATGAATGATCAGGATGCAAAATTTTAAATGGATATCTTACTCGAAACGTACCTCGAGCTCTATGTCCCACCCGAATCCCAATGACGTGGGGTGTAACGTCTTGAAGGAGGAACAGGGAATCGGGGGGGTACCAACTTCAAGGGTCTCGTCCCGGAGTTAGCTCAGGTAACTCCTCTGACCGACAGAGAAGGTTCAAGGACGGCAAGCTGGGGTAGCAAGGTGCAAATGGTCTGTTGCTGAAGGAGGCTATCTATAGCAATGGTGGACGCGTCCATGTCCGAAATCTCATGGGCTCTTGGCACAGGGGTAGCGCGCACGCTTCGCATTACCTGAGCTTATCAGTGTTGCTTCAACTTGCGTGAGGTCGTGGGTTCAATTCCCACAGTGTCCAACCTTTTTTTATTACGTGCCTTTCATCCACTGACGTTCAAAGTTAGATTTAGTAGCACTGGCAGCCTGACTGCCGCTTTCAAAAATCGAAGTTCAGGCCCTGAAAACTTCCTCACGCCGCCCACGTAACAAACAGGACGTCTAGCTTATTTACGGGATCTCTCTATTTCTCCCGAAAGGCTACCTTGATCCGCGAGTGTTTCTTCACGTCTTCAACCCATAGTGTTATTAGTATATGGGAGTCGCACGACTCGGACTCGCACCCGTGGATTGGCATGGGCATCTTATCTTGAGGGCGAATCCCAATGGAAACAGTGACCAGAAATTGGGTTGAGGTGTCGATGTTGGGACCGGTCGGGGTAGGGTTGAGACAGAGGGGAACGAAGTATCGTGGTAGGGAGTACCCAGGTGATCGTGCGTCGTCCCCGAGCAAGATCGGACCGCATGCGATATCTCGCACGCGTCGCGCTTCTGAACTGGGTTGGATGGCTGATATGGATTGAGACAGGCGACGGATGTTGTTACCTGGATCGAAAAATGGTGTACCGCGCGATGCGCGTATGATGAATGGAGACGTTGCGGTTCGGTGGGGAGGTGGAATTCGAGAGACGGGGCGGGCAATTTGATTGGTCAAGTGAGGTGGGAGGATGAGGCGGGAGTTTTGGGCGGACTGGAGTGCTGGTAGGAGATGCGACGTAGAGGACGTACGACGTGCCTTGTGATTATTAGCCTTCCACATTTTGTTCGAGTACTTTGATTTCTCTGTGTCGTGAGTCGACTCTATATGCCATTTCGGGAGGGGGAGGAAAGCTAAGATCCAGTCGTAGGATTCGTGGTGTGTTCTTCACGATCGAAGATGCTTTCGACCGAGAGTTTCTTGAGCATACAGATGTGAGATATGATCTGAATAACTTGAGAGCGACGAGTACTTGGTCGAAAATTTGAAGGGATCGCTCTTCTTACTGTATTGCAAGTGAGTGGGTCGCTTAAATATGTAAACGCTGGATGTACGAGTTGTCCGTGCCAACTAGCGCTATACCTTCCTGTCCTGTCATCGGTCTGTCGATGACTGCTGTGAAATGGTTGCGAGAAAGACATATCATACGGAAGAATAGACGATTCTGACGAACGCTACCAGGCACCTGAGGCACGAAGAGATCAAGAACAACGTGCTGACATCGTGGGAGTGGCGGGAAAAGAGATAGCCGAAAAGTTGCCGAGCTCTATTTGTACATATTTCGTATCCAGGGCCCTTTGATCACAATTTTGGCAAGGGGGAGCACAACAACTTCAAGAGCCCATCGTTCGCGGCGATGAACAACGATGCGCAGGAGGCGGCAATGGGTCTCCTCAGCCTATCCCCCAGCAACCTCCCGCCCCCTCCTCCGCTCGTCCCCCTCAAACGCAAACACCCGCCCACCAGCACCGGCAGCACCAGCGCCAAGCGCCGGCCCACCACCAAGCTCGTGCAGCCACAGCAACCGCAGCAACAGACGCTGACGCAGGACGGGGACGTCTCGACGGAGGCTATCAGCTGCATCTGCGGCTCGACGTTCGATGACGGGTTCAGCATCGCCTGCGACGACTGCTCGCGGTGGTGCCATGCCGCCTGTTTCGATATCGTATCGGGGGAGGTCCCGGAGGAATGGAGGTGTTGGGAGTGTGTGCCCAGGCCCGTGGATAGGGAGCGGGCGGTAAGGCTGCAGAAGGAGAGACAGGGTCTAAGGGCGCTGGAGGAACAGCAGGTGGCATCGACGACCCAGGCGCCTTCACAACCCCAGCTTTCACACCAACCACAACGGCGCAGGACGAGCCCGGGGTTGGAGCGGAAGCACCGCCGCACGAGCGCCCCCGCCATCGACGGCTCCAACACCTCGAAGCGCAAACGACGGGCTTCCTTCGTCGTGCCCCCGCCCCCACCGCCGGCTGCTGAAGAGGACGCGGACGTCGTGGTCGACATTGACGAACCATGGTCTCATTCATACGTCCACATCCAGAACGATATCGTCCCCGCCCGAGAAACCCGGGAGAAACTCCTCCGGCACGCCCAGTCCTGGCGGGGCATCACCGCCGTCGCACCGTTCCCTCCTCCGTCTTCTCCCCCCGTCGCCGTACACCCACTCCCGGACCCGGACCCCGTCCGCCCGCCCGCGTATGTCGTCCACACCACAGCGCCCGTCCAGTGTGAAGGACTCATCGCTCCATTTACTAGCACCATCACCCCGTCCTCCACGTACCTCTCCGACCCCCTCAACGCCTACGCCCATCTCGGCCTCCCGAAGCCTTTCGTCCACCTCATCGGCCCGCCGCTCGATCTGGCGTTGGACGCACGTATCGCGGGCGACGGCGCTCGGTATGTGAGGAGCGGGTGCAGGCCTAATGCGGTGCTACGACCTGTACTGTGTCCTCGCACATCTGTCCCAGAGGAGGGAGCGTCCCCGAACCCGCAGCCGAAACCACCGGAGGAGAAGGAGGGGACACTGGGTTTTGCGGTGTTTGCACTGCGTGATCTTAAAGCGCATGAGGAGGTCGTGCTGGGCTGGGAATGGGACGACGAACACGCTATTCATCAGCTTCCCGCCCTCATACAGACACCTGGACTGTTCCCGTGAGTTCCTCCCTCCCCCCTTCTCCCTTTTTCAAGTGTATTCACGCATATACTCTACAGCGCCGCCCATCAGACACACCTCCGCGCGCAGATGAGCAACATATTACATCTGCTGTCTTCGACGTTCCCTGCGTGCGCGTGTGGTGCCCACGCCAGGGACTGCGCCCTGCGACAGATGGAGCGGTTCGTGGAGGGGCTCCCGTTCGACGATCCCGAGCCGCCTCGGCATGGGGAGAAGGAGGGGTCGCAGAAGAATGGGCACGCCAAGGGGACGGAGAGGGAAGCAGTCGATCTCGGGCCCCTCATTGGCACGCGACGCGGGTTCAGAACACGCGAGAGGATGGAAGGGTCTGGAGGGCGGGGCGGGGTGGAGATGTGGGACGACCGGGGAGAGGGCCCGTCGAGGATTGTACTGAATGGGACGACGATGATTTGGGAGGGGGAGGGGGAGGGTGGGGAAGAGGAGGATGCGGATGTGGATGTGGAGATGGTGGATGGGGAGGAGACGGAGGATGAGCTTGAGGTGGGGTGGGATGGGGAGGGGGAGGGGGGACGGAGTCGAGGTGTGTTTTTTTCGTGTGTGGTGTTTTGGCGAGTGCTGATGTGGTTTTGGGATAGTTCACCCGGTACGCCCGCCGCCTTCCGATCCCTCACAAGATCGACATCGACACCACCACCATCGACCACAACATCATCGACACCCGCATTTCGCAGCGCAAGAGCTACGACCGCCGGATCCGCCTCAACCCCTCGACGAGGTGGAGGACAAGATGCCGCCGAAGATGCGGAAACGGTGGATACACAAGGAGGCGGAGGCGCGACGGGAGACGGCGGTGCGGGATGGGGAAGATGGAGAGGTTGGAGAATGGCAGTGGATTGGTCGGGATGTGGTTATGCTGGGTGGGTGGTTTTGTCATTTTGGGATTCGAAGGAGACTGATGGCTTTTTAGATTCGGTTGGGGCTCGCGAGGGTGGGAGGGGTACGGAGGGGGGTATGAAGGGAAGGCTGGAGGTCGAGGGACGTGTGGATGAGGAGTTGAAGGCTGGGGACGACGCTCGGCGTCTTGAAGGTTCGCCAGTTCACTTTTTTTTTGCTGACGGACTTTCTGACATTGCTGTATAGCAGCGGCCGCACTACAAGATCTCGCCCCTCAACCTACGCGCTCCCTGTCCCCTCTCAACGTCTCCGAGAGGGAGTTGAGCCTCCAAGACGACGCATGTCACGTGACTTGTAAGCCGTTCTTCAACTTCGTATTTTACCTCGTAGCTAACGCGTTTCGACTGAAGCTTCGGATCGTTATGAATGTCCGGCGAGAGCGTCGTCTTCGCCAACTTTCAAGACGCATGTGTGGCAGGAGACGGAGGATGGGGAGGTGAAGCTTAGTTTCGAGGCTGACACGGGGCGAGCAACAGGTGCGCTGGTTTCTGATAATATGTGTCAGGGTACGTCTAACGCGTTGATGCAGGTCCAGATTATCAACGTTCTCCTTCGCCTGGGCGGCGCGCAGCGTCGCCAGCTGCAGCTCTACCCGAACCCGAGCCAGAACTTCAGTCGAATTCGGTTTCTAGTACGACGTCGACTCCACCACCAAGCGTAGCGACCCTGCTACCATCGCGGGCCGAAACTGCGCGCGAAACTACACCTGATGAGAAGGATGAGGAGAAAATGGCCATCGTTCTCGACGGAGATATTACAACTCGCGATGGTGCGTTTATACTCGGTTTTGGGTCGGTTTACCTCGCTTACACAGTCTATAGATTCTGTATATTCTCCACTGTCCCCTTCACCAGCTCCGCGATCGCCATCTCGATCCTCCCCTCCACCGAAGTCGACGCTAGCGTCAACTTCGAGCCCCAGTCCATCGCCACTACCCTCCACCTCGCCCTCCGCCCTACGCCTTCACCCCGTGCCGACGTCTACGCTCGTCCAACCCTTGCCACAAGCCGCAACGGACTCGCCCTCTGCGTCTTTCGCACGGCTGTCCCTCGTCACGCCCGTCGTCTCCCAACTACGTAGCAGTATCAGCGGGGCTAGGAGTGTGGAGTCTGCGGAGACGATCGAGTCGCCGCAGCTCCTGCAAAGTCCTCTTCGGAGGCTTGTACCGTTGGAAGCTCCCAGCGTGCCTTCTCATCCTGACTCCGACGATGGGGAGAGCGAGGTGGATTATGAGGGAGAGCAGGAGGAAGAGAGGAGTGAAGGAGAGGCGTTGACGCCGTTGGGAGATAGCGAGGATGAGATAGAGGTGGATAGGGATGGGGATATGGGCTCGGATGGAGGGGTGGTCGAGATGTCGATGCGGGAGCCGATGGTTTTGTCACCGGAATCGCCACCGCCTTCCCCGTCTCCGGCTTCTCCTGTACCAGCAGAAGAGGAACACATGCACGGTGTGGAG